AAAAAAAAATTTAAAAATATACCACCCCCTGGGTAGTGTTAACGTACCCAGCTTCTAACTCTATGGATTTTGACTGTAACTGTAAAATAACGACGCGAGAGGATGGAGGTTTTGGATAGAGGAAAGAAAAAAGGAATGCTGTAAAATGTGGTTTGGCGAGAAAAGATAAGGGAGAAAAGTTCGGAGGAAAGTTGTTTGCTCTGTCTCTCTTTGATTTCTCTTTCTTTTACCTATCTATCTTGCAAATTAGCCAGATGACTGTTCAGAACATGGCGGGTTGAAGGCTGTACCGATGATTCCCGCTTCTATCCGCATACACTGCTCGGTCTATGTTTACAGCTAAGGGATGAAACACAGGCTAACTACATCGTAAAATGTCTTAAGACCAGTCCTTCTATCCCATGAACTCATGCATCCCCCCTCATATTGAGTAAATTTTATTGGAATTTAATTGCTGTTAGCAAGCACTTTTACTGTGGATCATTTTTGAATATCGCAACTTTTCATTGCCAGTGAAATACTTGGAAAAGCTTTTGATTCAGAGTATGATTTGTTTTTTATTTCCATGCATTTAATAACTTTTCCAACTTCTTTTTACCACTGCTTAATTATCCGGTGGTCATTCTCTTGGCATTTCTGTTTTTATGAAAAAGTTACCATCTCAAGGGATCCATGAACAGAAGCAACGGTCGGGGTTTTAATCGTTTCGAAATGTCTTCGATGTGCGTTGAGCATCATCAGTTTGTTCGAGACGTTGCCAGTTTTAGACCATACCTTACTAACTAACAGAATTCTAGGCCTATCATCGGATATTTCGTGACCTTCTTGGCATTAAAGCATATGTTGTACGGGCAAGTGCTGGACATATCGGTGGTGATGCAACACACGAGTATCATTTGCCATCGAAAACCGGCAAAGATAGTATTACGTACTGTAAAAAATGCAACACAGGTTAATTTTATCACTAAAAGTGTGGGGCTCTGATATTACCGAAATGTATGCGTAAGCAATGCATATTTTGCCAAGCTCTAGTTTTTCTAGCTCCCTTTTCTTTAGTTTATGTCCATGGACTAATTTCATACTTTTTGAAAAAAAAAAACTAGCGCGTGCATTCACCATATGTTAGCTTTTTTGGATTTTAAATCAAATAGCCATTCTTTTATCTAGAAATATAAAACTTAAGTCGAGTTGTGCTAATGGTAAGAAATGTATACAACTTAATGAACCGAAACACTTCTTACCGAAAATTTTCTAACTTTCATTCCTTACCTTCTTTTTTCATTTTTCTCTTTATTTCATTCTTTCTTATTATAACTTTCTATCACATGTCTGTCACGAAATAATATAAATTAGGGGTTTTTTAGATATTGAAAATTTCAATCGTAGGCATTTTTTAGATATTGAAGTGATTTTGTTCATCACTCCTTTTTTCTGCCTTCGTTGATATATGGGCCATTTGCTACTGCAATTTTGAGAATTCCCACCTGGAACACGTCTAATAGCTATTTGTGCGCATCATGTGTATCGAACTATGTAGGCGATAAATTTTTCACTTCTAAAGTTATTTTGATGGGTGCTATATTCGCTTGGTAATTAAAACTTGGTGATGATCCTGGAGGGATTTCTTTTCTGGAGGGATTACGAACTTTTTGGTTTTCCTGACAGAATTATTTGGAAAAGTTTAGTCGTTTTTCGAGACCCCTTTGTTGTGTGTTGTGCAGTACAATATCGTTCCAAATAAAGGTTTTTGCCGGCTAGGAACACATGACATGAACTTGCTGTAGTGCGTTTAAAATAACTTGGGAATTTTTTCCACCCAGAACTATAGGAGTGCATCGACAGTCAGTTGTTGCGGTTGGCAAAATGTGGTGATAGCCAACTTTGTCTCATATTGTGTATGTAAAATACAGAAGGAGTTTTGATGCTTAAAAATCATAATAAAAATACCAGTGTGATGTTTAGAATACTTGGGTCAGCTGTAATTCATGATTCTTTATTCATGATTTTATTGATATTTTATTCTTATTTTACTTTGTTCTTTATTCTTTATTCATCATTCATGTTATCATCAAGATGATAACGGTAAAAAAATAACTAATTTTGATCATTTCAGGTGTCAGCACGGAATTATCGAAAAGCGGTGAAACTGCATGCAGCTGTTCTTCAGCAAGTGAATCTATTTCTGTAATCAATACGGTTGAAATTGCTCATACATTCCAGCTTGGTGATTTATTTGCAAAAAAATTTGGTGCTAAATTTGCTGGACAACCGCTGTTAATGAATTGTTTTGGAGTTGGCATTGGTAAGTTGCCCATGGATTTCGTGTATGAGTTTTTAAACGTCAGGAAAATTGAGATTATTTGATCAAGTGGGCAGAAAACAGAAATTTCTTACGATATGTTGGTTTTAATTCCTCGGTAAGCATCAGTATAAGTGTTGTAGAAATTTTAAAGATAAAACATTGAATATTCCTGGCAAGGAGACTGTGAAATCCTCAATATGTTGACATATGCAGTTTGTTTGGCGTTATTCGCCCACTGTGGAAAAGATCATAATCGAATTTTGACAATTAGTGAAAGCGCTGGAAGTGCCATTTAGATCTCCCAAATAAGGAAGCCTGTCTATGTTTCATCCCTGAGCTGTAAATACAGACGGCAGAAACTGTGGGAAATGGGGTGGGAATCATCGGTACAGTATGAGTTTACAGCCATGACGAATTAAAGACAGATGTACGTTTGATCAAATGCAGTGATGTTGATGAACCAGAATTTGATCTTTCTGTTTTCATTTCTTGAGAATATCGGTGTTTTTATAAAATTTTACGCTCTGAATTATCTCACTAGCATGTAATTTTTGGCTGAAAATCATAGTGAAATATTCACGTTGCGCATTTATGCTCAGCAAAATGACAAATTTTTAATACCAAAAATGAATAATTTCAGGTCGTCTAATAGCAGCTTTAATCGATTTTCTGTCGCCAAATCCAAAAACTCTTCGCCTACCATACTGTTTGGCCCCTTTCAAAGTTGCCGTTATTCTACCGAATAAGACGCATTTCGATACAATGAATTTTGCAAATGACTTTATCGATCAGCTTATGCAAATCCCTTCATTAGATGATGAAATTTTTGTGGATGACCGACTGGATAACTCGATTGGACGACGGCTCATTGGAGCTGCTAATTTAGGTATGATATTGAAATTTGCGCCAGTTTTTTTGCCACTAGAAAAATTTTGAAGTTTAATTTTTGTTAGCTAAATTTACCAGCTAGGCAATAAATTACCTCATCTGTCTAAGAGTGTCAGCGTCCGAAAAGTGAGAACAGTGCCCACTTCACAATGAAAAGACCTCAAAATGGCTAGATTTTTCCAAGAGCTTTTATGGGGGCCGGGGGGAGGGGGAGGGGGGAGAGAACCTTAAAACTGGTAATTCCTTCAGGATACCGTACGAACGTCAGAATCGCCAGCAGGCTGATTGTCACAAGCGGTGACCATTACACGCTCCATGTACCAAAGTTTTGTTTTTTAGGCATACCTCATATATTTGTTTTTGGTAATCGAACGGCTCGATCTTTGGCTCACACTCCAATTATTGAGTATTTTCGAACGGAAGCTCATAATGAGGAACCGATCAGTGTTGGTGATCTTGATCATGTGGAGTTACTGAATGTGGTTTCGGAACTACGAAATTCTCCATGAACAAAGTATCGGTTTTTGTTTTTGAATAAAATATAGGTTTTAAATTAATGGCTGAACAAAATATCGGTTGGCGAGCATGGTGTAATGGGAGTAACTGCCATGCAGAAGTACAGAAATTCGACTTCGCCCACTAAGGTATCTAATTTATTCGTTTCGATGGAAAATTGCTAATGGCACATGTCAAAAAGAGAAAACATCCGTCAGTTTGCTTATAAGCAACCATCAGCAGTTTTGCCAACGGTTTTTGAATAAAATGAAAATTTTAGTTTAAAGAATGAGCCAGTTTTGCCAGTGGATAGTTGCATTTAGTACTCGCTATTCACGATATACTTCCGGAATGGTTCCCTTTTATATATATATATATATATATTTTTTTTAATTTGTTGGTTCATGTACTATTTTTGAGGCTTCTGAGATAGTTTTGTCGGTGTTTGTTATTTATCGTATTTTTTATCAGAATTTATTTCGTACAATATTTAATACCTTTTGTTTTTTATTTAATACTTTTTTATTTTATCTTTTTATTTTTTCCTGCCTTTTCTATAATACCTTTTTGTCTTATTTTTTTTTTTTTTCATAGTTTTATTTCCTACAGCTTCTGATATTAGGCTGTATTTCGATCTTTGGGTACTGAGCATCACCACCTTTGCCTCGAATGTTGTTGGCAGCGATTAGATACCTTATCGTCTGGGAGATGATGTATAAATTGTATGAAATTTGATGCCATTTGAGCTTCTGGTTGAATTGCTATAGTTATCATAGTCTTCTTATCATCTGTAGTTTATTTTTTTTTTTTTTTCGCATTTTTCAAGAGATCCATAAGTGTTACTAGAAATCTATAGAAATATTCTGACGATTATTGGAACTGAATTGTGTACTGGTGCTATAATAGGCCTGCGGAGTGTACGTTATTATTAATTTTTATTTCCTTCTATTATCATTGTTCATCCGGTCATGTCATGTAATTATTACTGTAATTGTTGAATTTCTTGATTAAATAAATTTTTGAATTCAAAACTGCGTTCATTTTGTATTCATCGATCCCTGTGATCCGTGGGGTATACTTGAAAAATCCGGAACATTTGTTTTTTACGTAGTGTGATTTTGAGCTTGAACTTTTCTCCAAGTTGCTTTGACCAGTGGTCAGATTACTGGCATTTTTGACCATTGTTTCATCTTCCAGAAAGGTCTATCACCGTCCTACTCCTGCTTATTCCTATTGCATGTAGGGTTGGTGCGACCCTTGCCGGTCGATACCCTTCGCCGAATGGGCCGCTGTTCCTGGCCTTGGTTACTATCCTCCTCCATTCCCTCACGGGGTCTTTGAGGCCCATACTGCTATTTTATCAGCGTGATAACTCGTTTGATTAAGTTTA